TAGTTCAAGTTGTATTTAAATCCGGGTACAAAAAGAAGTAACTTTATGCAGTAAATAACTGAAAAAGATATATAAATATATATATATACTATATATTTGTAGGATAGGCATCTTAATTTACTCTTTGAAAAATAAGGTAAGTTGATAAACTATAGGTATTTCATACGTATATGTATTCTTACTTAACGTGTGCAAACTCTTAACTCGTATTATCTGTCCAAACTTTACCACTGAGATATAATGTTAAATCACGTTTCCTTATGCATTCTTCTAAAAAGTTAAAGCAATCAAAATACATAACAAAACTTCAGGTTGATTAGCAATTGATACTCCAGGAAGCCTACAAAACTAGCAAAAAAAAAAAATTTCTTTTTGTTGCTTACTTCAAAAGTGATAGAAGGAAAGAGTTGATAGATTCTTGGAGATTAAGAAAGTGTGTGCAATCAAATCTATACATGATTGGTAAAAAAATAAAAGAAAAATACAGGATTGTGTAATACACAGAGGACAAGGTTCAGTGTAAGTTTCCTCCATTTTGAATCCTTGAACTTATACCACCTTTTCACTTTACATCCTAAACTTTAATTTAGATACTTTGAATGCTAAGCTCTTAATTCTGGACATTTGCACCTAAACTCTCAAATTTGTCCTATTTAAGTCCATAAATAACAACAAAGTTAGCGAAATTAATGAGATAAAGGATTGCGTAAATTAATGACAATGTATAGTTTTTGTTCTAGTTTACAATTCCTTGGCTCCTTTTAACCACTTTCAATACATTGTCATTGATTTTTATGGTTTCAATCACCAATATTATTAGCAAAATTGATGAGAAAATGATGATGCAAATTAATGATAATGTATCATTTTGTTTAAAACTATGATGCATATGCTCCTTTTGACCATTATCAACATCTTGTAATTAATTTGTAGTGTCCTTTATGCCATTAATTTTACTAAATTTGTCATTGATTAGACTTAATGTGAGAAAGTTTAGGGTTTAGGGTGCAAAATATCCAAATATGACAAAATTGAGAGTTTAGGGTGCAAAGTATCCAAATTAAGAGTTTAGGGTGCAAAATGTTCAAAATTAAAATTTAGGATGAAATGTGAGAAAGTGAAGAAATTTAAAAGGGTAAAGTGGAGTTAGTCCCAATTAGTATTTTGATCTGGTCAGTGTGGAATTTGATCTTTAAAAGGTGTAAACCCAAGAAATTGACAACTCAGGTAGCCATTTCTCTTGGACTAACTCCATTTTACACCCTCAAACTTGTATCATTTTCCCATTTTGCACCCTAAACTTCAATTTCAAATATTTTACACCCTAAATTCTCAATTTTAGACAATTTGTATCTTAAACTATCAAGTTTGTTCCATTTAAATCCAACAAATGACAAAATTAGCAAAAGTAACAAAATAAAGTGCAGTGTAAATTGATAACAATGTATAGTTTATTCTAACTGCGATCCTTTAACTTATTTTGACCATTTTCAGCACACTGTCATTGATTTGTATGGTCCAAATTATTAATATTGTTAGCAAAGTTAACAAAACAAAGGACAATGCAAATTAATGATAATGTATCGTTTTCTTCTAATTGTGTTCCCTTGGCTCCTTTAATCATTTTTAATACATTGTCATTGATTTGTATGGTTCTTTATGCCATTAATTTTACTACTGTTATAATTGATTAGACTTAAATGGAACAAAATCGAGAGTTTTATCCAATATTAAGAGTTTAGCGTACAAAGTGTTCAAAATTAAAGTTTAGGGTGCAAAGTGAAAAATGTGACATAAGTTTGGGAGTGCAAACTGGAGTTAGTTCATTTCTCTTTGGACAATACATGTGAATTTGATTCAAGCTCTTGATAGTTTTTCTACGTATAAAAATTGGATAGCTTTTTATACACTATCAATATATAATTTTTTTACACTAGCATAATTAGATTATGGCACATGACATGAGTTCAAAAAATTTGAAATTCAAATCATGCACATGTAATATACATCTAAAGTTGCTAATATAAAAAAGTCACTTTACAGTCACTGTATAAAAAGTTAATTCATAAAAATTTTAGCTTCAAGGGAATATTAGACTAACAGTTTGTACTTTGAGGGGGTAACACTTGCGCCCAAAAACTTTTTACATGGCGCACTTCACTCCAATTTTAGTGCTCTAAGAACACAATACCAAATTCTAGGATATATTTTCCTCGTCAAATTTCTAAATAAGGACATGAGATTTATCAAAGGCAAATACTTGGGTATGGTCAGTCTAATAGGGCGACTTGTAAAGCATATAATGCAAAAACTACGTGGTGATGATGATGTATGATATTGTAAGAAAAGTGATAGTAATATATGATGATACAAGAAAGCTAATATATCTCTTGAACGTCAAGTCTACAATCAGATTACATGGAGGTAGAGAAAAAAGATAACAGAATAAGGCGTAGGATCATTTCTCAGCTAATCTTGCTTACTCATTGTCGCGCAGTTAATCATTTTTCTTTTGATTAGTTTCCCTCTTATTTTTCTTTCTCCCTTCTGTTTCATTGTATTCTTCCTTTTCCATTAGCAATTAGCATACTAAACAGCAAGCTTGGCTGGAGGAGCTTCGGTGAGGAAGTTAAGATAGTGATCATTTAAGAAAAAATGAAAGAGGAAATGTAGAAGAAAACAGAAAGAAAGTTAAAAGGAAGAGGAATATAAGGGCGACTAAAAATAATTTGGAGCATCTTTGTGCACCCACATTGAAGTCTGGGTTCAAAACTGTTTGAATACTAAGGGGATTGAGTGAAACTACAAGTGTACTGTTAATCATGAGTACAGTAACGAAAGATCTTGAACAGTTTAGCAAAGTGAAACGTTGTTACTGGCTTTGCAGCCAGATTAGCACCTCAAAAAGTAAAAGAAATGGAGAAAAATGAATGTTCTTATTTGCATGCCAGGCCTCAAAAGATCTTGTCTCTGCGTACAAACCGAAGTCCAAAATTAATCGGCCAAATCAGAATTCTAGATTTTGACCAGGAGCATGACTCAGAGAAGGTGTTATAATAGGGGTTTTAGATGGTGGAATTCAGCCAGGTCATCCATCTTTTGGTGATCAAGGAATGCAGCCTCCACTGGCTAATTGGAAAGGTAAATGTGACTTGGATGGATTAGAATGTGATAACAATTTCATTGGCTTAAGGCATTTTTACAAACCAGGGTTGCCTGTCCAGGTAGCTTGTCATGGTACTTAATCTTCAAGCAGAGTTGCTGGAAATTTTGTGAAAGATGCCAATATGTATTTAACAAGCAAATGGTACATCTGTTTGTTCAGCCTTGTATTGTATCAAGTCTGTGATGAGTTTGGAATCACTTTCCAGATGGTGCTTTTCTAGCTGCTATTGATGCTGCCATTGACGAGGGGAATTGATGCTTTGAGTCTTTCTTTTGGTGAAGATGATACAACTCGTCTTTGTAAGGACACTATAGCATTTGGATCGTCCAGGCATAAATGGTTGCTAAAAGGCTGCAAGTGCTGCTACAGGGTCACTGGAAGGCATTGACAACAGAGGGAAAGTAAAATTCTGCAAAAGTGATAAGGATTTTGCAGGAGATGAAAAAGGAAGAAGTGTAGTGTGTTGTTTCTGCCATGATTCTCATGAACGTGGAGGCTGATGGATAGACAAATTACGCAGAAGATCATGTCCTTCCGGCAGCCGAAGTGAGTTTTGCAGCCTGACAAGCAATCAAGCTTAGATAAGTTCCATTGGAAACAGTTTTAGGAGTAAATATGTGCCTGATGTTGCTTCATTCTTCTACCTTATATGCTCTGGTGCTAACATCTTTGCTGCATGGACTTATGCACCAATATCATCTCTTTCCACAATCTTTGGAACCTCAATCTCACGCCTTTACTTAACTGATATACTGGTATTGCAGCTTTACTATAAACTTTACACCACAGTTTGTCTCTGGCGGCTATTGAATCTGAAATAATGTCAACTGCCGATATCTTGAACTATAACATAGACTCATACTTGAAAGAAATATGCTTCCTGCTGACATGTTTGTCAATTGATGCTGGCCAAGTAAATCCATCAAGAGCTTCTAATCCTGGTTCAGTTTACGACATCCAACCTGATGACTCCACCTCCTATTTGCATGGTTTGGACAACATCCAAAAATAAAATAAAAATAAAAGAAGGCTTGTTGTGCAGCATCCTATTACACCTTCTAAAATCTCAAGGTAGCAGAACCACAACTAAATTATCCTTCACTAGCAATTTAATTGGGTATACTACTCAAACGTACATGAGGACAATAACAATCTAGAAAGAGCACTGAACTTGTAAAATTAAGATCAAGTCGATTCCAGGGTCGATGTACATGTTCAAACAGGTTACTCAACTTCATAAAACAACAGAAGCAGATGACTTATTTAATAAGTTTTAGCATATCAGCTACAGCAATTAATATGGTTTTCTATGAAGGATAGTTTAAAGAGCCCAATTTTTGTTAAATTGTTGTAACACTAACAAGTTGCAGTCGTAAATTGTAATTAGCAATTAAAGTTCACATTTCAAGTCCAACTTCTCAGAATGTTTCTTGACCACTTAATCACCAGTATTTGTACCATTTGACTTAATTATGAAGAGCTAGTAGTTTTATCTGACACAAAACAACTTTAGCTTTTCCCAATGGAGTTGCTGCTCAGAGTGTTTTTTTTTTTTTCCTCTTTAAATGCAATCAACAGGTTGCATATTTTTTTTGTTCTTTTAAACGGCAAATTGCATTTAAGATGCGCAAAGAGGAAAACAAAAGTCAAGTTGAAATATGAACTGCTGTGATCATCTTCCCCTTTCTCTGTTAGGGCAAACTTCCCATCTTTGCAAAAAAGTACAGATGTGAACATGTACAGGATTTGCTACCAAGTATGAAACATGTACAGATTACTAACGTTTTCTAACTGAACATCTCGAAATTCTATCTTCCATGAACTTCTGAAACGGTTATTTCATTTCTGAATGATCTCTATTCTGGTTTCGTGATGAATGACTGTCAGTACCACTGGTGAATTGTGCCAGAAATGCAGGTTCTTTGGGTAGAGGAAGAACAATGGTATCATTTCTAAGCATGGATATGACATCTGACATGCAAGGACGATCTGCAGCTCTCTCTTGAACACACAAGAGACCTAATTGAAGGCATCGAACAACTTCACTTGCTGAACATGAAGAATTAGCTACTGTAGAGTCCAGAAGTTCCAGCGGTGTTTTCCTTCCACAATTCCACGCCTGAAATTCAAGACTGATACTATCAGTTCAAACAGCTTGAAGACTAAACAAACTATACAATGACATTTTGAGGCTTCAAATAGTTGGATTTGGAAATGGCAAAAACGCATGCCATAGGTTTTGCCCTGAACCAGGAAAGGCAGAAAAATAAATCTAGAAAAGAAGTTTTAATATTCCTTACGTGGCCAAGTAGGTTCAGAGAGCTATCAGACTCGAAGAAGGCATATTTCTATGTCCACTAATAATCTCGAGCACAATGATTCCAAAGCTAAATACATCTGGTTTTTCGGAAAAGAGACCATCCATGGCATATTCAGGAGCCATGTAGCCACTGGACATGAAAATGAACATCAGATTCTGTTAAAATTGAAATCGGCTGGGCACTAGCATAAGAAGAAGAATTGATTGCAAATGAAGATAATTTGAGAATCTTACTTACTATGTTCCAGCAATTTTTGTTGTCTTTGATCTGGTTTCACTTTCTCCAAATATTTGGCCATTCCAAAATCAGATATTTTGGGGTTCATTCATTGTCTAACAATATGTTGCTTGCTTTTAGATCGCGACGAATAATCCTCAGCCTTGAATACCTATGGAGATAAAGAAGCCCTTGAGCAGTTCCTTCAATAATGGATACACGTTTGGTCCAATCTAACAGTGTTCGTTTGGTAGAATCTGCAGGTAGATCATAAGTGTAATAATAGATACTTTAGATAAAAATCTGACCTTATGAATTTTTCACCTTATCAAAATTTAAGATCACCGCAAGATGTCAAGTACTAACCAAATATAAACGAGTCAAGCTTCTGTTGGGCATGTATTCGTAGATTAATATATACTCGTCTCCTTGTATGCAACATCCAAAAGCCTCACTAGATTTCTGTGCTGGAGTTTAGATATCAGGGTGACCTCATTCATGAACTCCTTCACTCCTTGTCCTGATCTCTGGGAAAGTCTTTTTACTGCAATTTCTTGACCTTGGGCAATTTTCCCTGAAATATATGGAATTGCTTTTAGCATCTAACTTATGCTCCATATCCACTGAAACTAACCTAAGATGCTTCATCAACCTTATAAACTGGTCCAAAGCCACCTTCACCAAGCTTATTTTGCGTGGCGAACTGATCAGTTGCAGTTTCTATGGCCTGCAAGTTAAAAAGTGGCAACTCCTGATCATTGACACTTCCCATCTCAATGTGATCTGCAGTTTTTGCTTTGACGTTTGCAACATGGCGGTTACGGCTTAAGTAATGAATCAAGCCTCACATCTTCTTGCTGTTTTAGCTTGCTAACTGGTTTACAAAAACAATACTAACTGATTAGGATTTTAGTAAGATATTCTGTGTTAGATGTAACAAATAATACGCTTGCGCAAAATAGAATAGAGCAGAGAGGACCTCTACGACTGCTAATTTGCCCTCTTCTATAGCACCACAAAGCCACCAGCAATTGTTACAATCAGGGGACATACTGCACTTAAGAGAACTAACAGCAGACACTTCTTTACAGCACCTATAAAGAAAGAAATGCATTTAAACCAATGGACTTTGCCTAGTAGTAAAAGAAATGTTTACACTGATACATACAAGATTAGGCGATGATTAGGTCGTGCACGGTTACTAAAATGAACCTCTGCTATATTATCAAGTGGACTAGCTAGGTGTGAAAGTACTGGGATATTCAATGGCAGTAAATTGAGAAATGTCCACTTAGCATTAAGAATTAGAGATGAAGCTACTGCACAATTAACAGCAGTGGTTGGTCATTTGACTTTTACTTAACTACTACTCTAGCTGCACACGAGAATTTTAACAATATATGCTGAAAGTGTGAAAATGATGGGTTAACTTCCTTGAAATTTACATGCTGCACTAGCTGCCAAGCTAAGAGGAATATTTTTCAACCTTTGCAATATTCTTTTAGTTTGTTTTCTGTGGGTAAGGATGAGATATACAATTGAATAATGGCGTTGATACTGACTTATTATAATCTTTGGGCAAACTAGCATTTCAACAAAATAATAACTCCAAGAAATACCATGTTCATATACACAGAAACACAGCACCATCAAATTAAATGTTGATCTTGATCGACAATCTTTCTACATAAATTGGTATCGAACGTACCTGTAGGATAGGTGGCAAAGCCACGGACATAAACAGTACCATTCCCCTCTTTCAGCGTAAGGTTCAAGATGTCATTTTTGCTCCCATAGTAAAGTTGGCACCAAGCTAGATCATCCTGAAATGTGGCAAATCCAATGCAAGAACAGTTCCTCTTGCACAAAATTCACATTCAGTAGAGACAACTGATAAATCTACAGTCATTGAAGCTGGCAATGTACCATTCATCGCATAAATGCATCGCCATCTGTGCACCTTGAAGTTTCTGAGTCCATGCACACATTGGAATTGCCTATAATTGATTTATCACATAAGGAATGGCTCACTGTAGAAATACTCCCATTAACATTGTGTACTCATCAATATGCCCAATTGAGGAAATTACCAACCATGACATGTCATATTTACCAATTGTGGTGAAAGTGACGTATGACTCATTTTCATCAGATACTAAACGTAAACAAAGTTAAAACTATTGTCGAGTTCTTGAAAATGAATACAAAGTTGTTTCCATCCCATGAGCTGATATCCATGTGATCATTGTAATCCTCTCCAGACACCCAATTTTGTTGCAGCCTTGTGATCAACAGACTGAACACCAAGCGTGAATGCCCCGGAGAGGATTCTCAGGATTTACCCATGAAACTAACGACTGATTTCTTGGTACTTCTGCAGTCAAGCCAAACTCTCCCTATCTTCATTCCGGGAAGAAAAGTATCTGTTGGATAATCAAAACTCTGCCATACTACCTGATCACCTGTCGGAGGAATAAGTTACCAGAATCAAGAAGTGTTGCACTTGTATTATCACTTCTTGCAACATTCCTGAATTCACAATTATCGGTGATTGTCTTCTGTCAAGGAGAATGAGATTCCATCATCCCTTATTTGCAGAGTTGCAGAAAGGATCCGACAACATGGGATTATCACGATTTGCCACGCAAAGTGCCTTCTTGTTTACATCATTCTTCAACCAAGTACCATAATCTGTTACCTGAAGTTGCATCCTCGAAGAAGCCTAACTCGAATACACCACCAGCGGAGACTAGAGTTTCATTCTCTCCCATCACTTTTGTCGCCTGATGTGTCTTCTGCATCAGACAACCACACAAGGAAGCCAAAGAAATAACACTAGCATCCTTGTGATCATAGCTCAAGTTTTGAGGCCACTTTGGACCAGGACTTCATGAAAGAGATGATTAATTAGTGTAGATAGATTCATACTCTATCTTTATCTCTGTTAAAGCCAAGGAATAGGATAATGGTAGTTCATCTGTTATGAATCAATACGATGTTTGAAACATTGGTCTGAACATGACAAAACAAAAAAGAGCACTTTAGTTTTCAACCCAAAAACAAAAAAAACTCCGAACTTGTTGAATTTGCTGGCTGCGGATAGTGCACACCTACTAGTGTAATCCAATGAAATGATCAAAGTAGGATTTACCCCAAAAAAAAAAAAGAAAAAGTAGTCTAGAACTTGAGAACAATAGAAGATAATTTTTGAAAGCCAATTGGTAGAAACAAAATCAAGAAAGTCATATGTACGGGTCATAAACGAATCAAAAGTAAGCCAAATTTTGTAGTCAACCTGTGATTTGAAGTCCATCATAGTCCTTGACAAGGTATCATTGCAGTTTTATTCTTCTTAATTTGGATATGTTAACTTCCCTTTTTTTTCCTTTAAACTGTCTTTCCTTTTGAAAGAGGATTAGTAGACTACTAGTATATAATATATTGTTTAATTCTTTCAATGAATGAAATATGTAAGACTTTAATGGAACAATTTCATTTTAAATTTTGAACTTAAAAGCACTTTAACAATGATTTTTAGAAATAATTGGTTGAAGAAAGATTCATACTCTGGGAAACACTGTTAATATCGTAGAGGGAAACACTGGTAGTATTTAGTAGTGATTTTTCCCACAATTAAGGCTGTTTATTCTCTTATTTTATTTTAGGATGAACCAATTTTTTTTATTTTTTAGGTAACATGAACGTATAATTGAATTATTTCATTGACTCTAGAATTCTAGTTGACTTTTTAGTTGATCTATGTATGTAAATCTGGAAATTAAAGTTCTTTTTTGAAATGTTTACTCTATGTCATATAAGATATAACTATAGAAATGGAGAAAACAGGTACAATTTTCATGCATATTGGTTAGTTAGTAATTGAATAGAAAATGAATATTAACTGCAATACTGTATCGCAACTTAAGCGCTAGTTTAGCAAGAAAACAAACATATTTAAGCAATATAATTCTGGCGCCCTTATAATTTGTTTAAGTTCTTGCTTGCGTAGTCTTTTTTTATTTTTTAAGACATTGAAGCTGAGAATAATCGTTTTGAGGAAATTCAAGTTTAAGGATCATTTTATGTCTGTAATCATGTTTTGCTTTTAACTTGCCTGGGGAAGAAATTATGCCGATATATTATTGTTTTTAAATATCGATGAAGATTAAGAAGAATTTGATAAAATGCACTAGTTTTGGCTATTTCTTTAGAAGTTGAACATGTTATGTGCAATTTTTCTTCAAGTAGGAATTTACTTTCAATTCAGAATCTAACCATTCTGTTTCTTTTAGAGAAAATGACTAGTTTCATCCCTCATATTTTACAAAAATATTTTTTCACCCCTCACTTTTAAAATATAAACAAATTTTTCCTTGACATTTAAAAAAGCTATTGCATCCCTGAACTCAACTTTCAATCTGAATCAAATCACCTATCAACCAGATTAAAAATTCGGGATATAATTAGTAGATCATTTAGTTTACTCAACTTGATATTCACGTGATATTTTAATGAATCCAAAAATTTAAAAAAAAACATAAAAAAGATGGATTAATCTTTTCTACATTATCATTGTATACACAGACCGGTCTGAATACTTGCCACATCATTTCAATTTAAATTTGAACATCAAACTTTGTATGTATGGTATACATCTAAACTCACACACATATACTAACGATGCATGAAAAGATATACCCAAAAAAGAATCATACTATTCCAAGATTTTTATGTTATAATTTTTAATTTTTTTCCTTTTTGGTTCAATAAATGTCATGTGAATGTGATGGAATTGACCGAGTGATCTATCAATTCTATCCTCAAAATTTATTATTGGATTTATTGGATGATTTGATTCATATTGAAAGTTGGGTTTAGGAATGGAATAGATTCAATTTTTAAATGTTAGGGACGAAATTGTTTCGTTTTAAAAGTGAGAGATGAAAAAAATATTTTGCGAAATATGAGAAATGAAACAAGTCATTTTCCCTTATTTTTATGTTGCTTAAACAATCATTCCTTCTATATCGTTCAAAATTTGAATTTGGTTAAAGGGTTAATGGTAACTTTGACCTCTGTTTAAAAAAAAAAAATCGATCTAGTTAAGGAGGAGAGAGGAGGTCCTATAAAAAAAAAAATTTCAAGTCAGGGATCTCGAATCTGAAACATCTTACTTATATTTTCTCTCCGTATCACCCAATCCACTCCCCATGCCCCTGAGGTTCTATAAGTTGACTTAGGTAACTTAAATTGACGACTTGTTAAAAATGAGTTATTCCAATTTGAATTTGAGTTGGATAAACTCGTAACTTAGAGAAAAGGGCGTCAATAGATTAGGTTAGAGAATTACTGGCATATGGATCTTTACCATGAATTTGATGGCTTTTTGTGGTAAATGTGAATTGATTTTGGTCCAATTGGTGTCATTATGGTACTTCTTTCAATATTGCATATTGGTTTTGGTCCAATTTGTATCATTGTGGTACTTCCTTCAAAATCTGGTATGTAATTACATATACGATGCATTGACTTGATGCATGCGCACAAATAAAACCCATATTTTCAAGAAAGCTATATGAATTTACACTTAACGCCTTATTTG